CCGCTGCTTTGATGGCAAATAATGCCACCCAGATCTCATCATATGCTGCGTTCTCAGAAAAAACAATGGCGTCTATACAAGTAGCTCAGCTGAGGTAAGCGAACGGATTGTTGCGAAAGTTCAACGTGTCAGCAATAACCTGTTTATATATCCTCTAGGGTGTTAGGATTTGCGAATCTCTTAACTTTATTGGAAAGCTTTTCAAATTTATCAGAAATTTTCCGAGCATAAGACTCGATTTTGTTGATAGGTGCTCTTCTTGATGCCTCAAAAATTTAATAGTTAATCGAAAAGATTTGAGCACCACTTAAAACTCATGATAATCAGTCTCATAAGACGCTAGATTACTTCATATCTCAGCAAGATTTTTCCACCGATGCTTGAACTGAGCTAGCGATAAGTCAGATGGTATTTTCTTGGCTAGCTCGGCTCGTGGGTAACGACTACCCGCTCTAATAGTCAAGTTCCTAGCACGCAAGTTGGTTTTGGGCAGCGCGAGCAGAATCTAATTACAACCCTCCTCTCGTTCTGGAGCATGACATTCTGAAAACGTGGAAGAAGACCCACTCAAGACCCTTATAGTTAGATCTTTAAGTTGGGAAGGCATAAACCCAGTTGAACAATTCTTTCATTTATTTGATCTGCTGTAGAAACAAATAAATCCCTTTTTAGTGAAGGCAAGAACAATACGATTGTGAGTTTTGCCTACGGTGTGGTGTACGGGGATGAATCCCCCGCTTCACTACCTTCATACGCAGACATCCAGTCGAAACTCGACAGCGATACCAAGGTCGTGAGCAGTGCTACAGTCGACAGTGTTTCCAGTGAGTGATACCTTTAAGCTGGAATTTATCCTTTCCTGATCCTGTATTCTTGTATTCTTAAGGCCCTAGCACTGATCCGTGTGCCTACCATCTACCAGCTTCAACGATCAGACCAAAGACAACCTCCCGAGCGGGGACGACGCCTAAGAACTTGTTGCCTTCTTCTTCGACTTCGATGTCCCGACTGGCTTCCCATTCAACGATTCGGCCTACAGCTTCACCAACGACCAACATGAACTCACTTTCTACTCGTCGTTCACCCACTGTCACTTCTCCTGCCGTCACCGTCATGAGGAATGCTACCTCAACGACGCCTTCTAAAGGAACGCCATCGAGTCCTCTAGGTTGCTCACGTCTTCTACCAGATTCCCGTAACCCAACTAAGGCTACAGTCTTGTCGTTGGCTCTTGCTGTTAGGAGGGACATCGAAGTGAAAGGACCAATTGTCTCACTTCAATGTCCCCTTCTAATGTCTGACAAGTGCCAGCGACATTTTTTGAATAACGGCTAAAGTACCTAGGTTCGCTTAATATCCCAGTAGTGAAATATGATCAAAATTCAATGCCTTGTAATTTCCATTGGTCATTTAAATCGACCTGACGCTCTTAAATGACCTGTTAACAATTGTGATCCACTTTTATTTCCCAGGATGGTCAACATGAAGTTGCTGTCCAGACTACGGATGCCCGTATTCTTGTCGATGACGTCACTCAAACGGTTGCTTAAACGCGTTGTCTTTGTGTTTGTTTGATCACTTGAGCTTAACGCCGGCGCTGCTCATCTGTCTGCCTTAAGTTCTGGCGTGTTTCTAAACCACGACACTCGATTACCTTACCGTTTCTGGAGGTTTTTTCATTCATTAGAAGCGTTTTTGTTTGCATTTCAACCCAAGATTTCTCCTTTATCTATTAATTTAGAAGATTGCGGGGTTGTGAAGCCATTTTTTAGCTCTGTGTTGTTTTTCATTTTCTCATTTCACTATCTACAAATTCGCACATTACATGCTCTTGCCTGCATTACCCTCCTCTCTGATGTCATTCTGAAAGAATGTCATAGCGAATGATCTGTTGTTGTTTGTTTTGCTTTCTGAGATAGTTGTTCTATACAATAACTCGAGTCGATGTTCTATATCTATCTAATTTGAAAGTTTTGTTAATGTATGATATTTCGTGATTCTAATTATAATTGCAACAATGAAACAGATTTCATTCCATGTCATAAAACTTT